TGAGTGTTATGTGGAAACTAATTTGACAATAAACTATTTGTAAAAAAAATAAAAAAAAAAATTAAAAAAAAAAAAAGAGTAAACCGGGAGTGTAAAGAGGGAGGGGCGGCAGGTTGGGTTCCCCAGGAAGCAGACTCAGAGATAGAGACTAGCATGGGGGGGAGGGGGCTTACCGGGGAATGCTCTTGGAAGGGAGGGGCATGAACAGGGTTGGCCAGAGGAAAAAGCTGGGCTGAGTGCAGTCTCAGGGAGGGCCTCAAGTGACCCTACATGGGAGGTCTGAAGCTAGGATGCCCTTCAGAGTCCAACCAAGTTGGGGCAAAGAGGGTGGACCTTTGTACTCCAGCCACTGGATATAGGCCTCCTGGCAAGGGAGTGTGACATTGACAAGGTAGCTGTTTTCAGTCAAGGCAATTTTCAAAATCAGCTCCCAAAAGGCATCCTAGCAGGAAGGGGCGGGGAGGGCGGGGCGGATAGATCCTTCAGTCCAGAAGGGGAATCTGGTGGCACATCCCAGGCACATCCCAACAGAGGGGCTGCCCAGGCAGGACTGGAGCCACAGAAGTATAGCCAGTGCCCCAAGCAGAGAAAGGTAAGAAGTAGCCGCCACCCACTTCCTCATCTCCCTGTAGGGCCTCCCACTGGGAAACTGGGCTGGAAGCTAGTGGGCAAGAGCCTGGGAAAGACTTTGTAAGAGGAAGCTGCACAGGGGAGGGCAGGGGCCAGCTCTGAGAGGTCTGGGGTGGCCTCAGAGACTGGCTGTGGGTAATGGGGGAAAGGAGTGGATTCAAGAGGGAAATTAGTGCCCTGGAAGGCAGGTGGGGTGGGTGGTGGGGACCCCGTTCTCTCAGAAGGTGCAGTAAGGAGGTGTACACCTTGGGGAAGGATGCTGATGGCTCATGTGGAGTCTGCCATCCAAGTGCAGATGTACAGCCGGCAGCTCCGTGGATCTTAAATACTGGCACAGAATATACGTGAAAGAAGGAAATCCTCCGGGAGGCTCTCTTGTGGCCAAAGGACTAAGTACAACCTCCTCAGAATGGCACTGGGGCCCTCCAAGACTTCTGCAAGGCTCAGCTCTCACCGCCCTCACAAGCCCCTTGGCCTCGCTGAGCCCACCTTGTCTCTGCTACTTACCATTCATCCCCGCTGCTTGCCCGGCCCCGCCCCCCAAGGCAACAATCTCACAGCCCCACACATCCGCCAGGTCAGGTCAAATGCTGCCTTCTAGATAGGACTCCTCCCTAGTACTCTTTTCTCCCGAACACACACTGTAATCTCTCGCATGAGTCCCCATGAGTGCCTCAGAGCCTGAAATCTCCACCACTTACTAGCTACTGGACTCCAGCAAGGAACTTAAACCTCTGAAGCTTTCTTCCTCTCTGAAATGGGGCAAAAAATAACCCCACAGGCCGGTTGTAAAACCGAAGGGAGGAATTATGTGTAAAGTGCTAGCAACAGTCCCTAATGCACCTCAATTAATGTTAGCAATTGTTATTTGCATTTTCATCTTCTAATCCCCGGCATCTGGCCCTTAGTAGATGCTTAATGAGTGTTTGCTGAATGTACGGAGATTTAATATTAAAAGCATTTATCCTTGGGGCTCGACCTGGTTTTAGAAAATTGTTTAGCAGGAGTGCAGGGCCTCTCTGGTAAGAGTTATCGATGTCGGATGTCCAGAGACTCCAAGTTGACCCGGATCTCTCAAGACAGAAAAACGACAGACTTTAAGTTACTTTTTCGTGGAGGTGTTTTGGTGCAGGGTCTGGCACACATTGCCTGCTCACCCAAATGAATCACGTTGCACGAATGCACGCACACAACTTGGCAGGGATGTCCTGATGTAGGCGGTATCACTGTCCGGTCGGTGGCCAGAATGACTTCTACTCCCCTATCCGCCCACCACGGCCCCGGGGCTGGCACCGGGCCCCAGACCCTGCTGCGCGTGCGGAGGAGGCCGGGAAGGGGGCAGGAATCCGGCGGCAGCCACGTGGGCCCCTTCCGCCAGCTCCCCACATCCTTTGTTTCCCACCGGCCCCGGCTCAGGAAGCTCTTTCTGCTAGTCACCGCGAAGGGGCGGCCCAGGAGCCTGGAGAAGCTATTTCCGTACAATCCGGGAGGGCGGCAGGCGCGGGAGGGGCGTGGAGGTGGAGGCAGCGCAGAAGGCCCAGTGTTTGCTTTTATTTCATCCAACAGAAGGTTCTATTTGTGGAAGCGAACAGACGCTGGGGATTAGAGCTGGGAGGGGGAAGGAAAAGGAAAAAAAAAAAAAAAAGCCACATCCACTACCACGCACAGGTCTTCCCCGGAACTACCGCGTGGGGGTGAATGACTGATTCTGGAATTCATCACCTTTCCTTCCAATCCTCCCTTCCTCTGGCTGCAGCGGGGCCTGGGCGGCGCCCACGGCTCCAATCAGAGGTCTCAGGGCGCAGGGCGGTGGGGGGGATCCCTGAAGCCAACGACGTAAGCGACCGGCTGCAGCGAGCTGCGGGTGCAGGGAACCGTGGTGCGCGCGCCCATAGTCCATTGTGCTCGGTGTGAATGGGGAACGCGCACCAATCAGCGGTCGCTTCGTCCTCCGCGGCCCCGCCCCTCCCGCCCACTTCCCCGGGACCCTGACGTCACGGGAACTTTTCCTCCGCCCCCTCCCCCGGCAGCTCCGGCGGAGCCGCGGGCCTGCGGAAGGGCGCGCGCCGCCTCCTGCCCTGCCCAGCCCGGGGGGCGTGCGCGCGCGTCCCAGCCGGCTCGGGACACACCACCTGCGCCGGAGCGCGCGCAGCTCGGAGCATCCCCAGCCTTGGGGCCACCCCCCATTGCCCCCGCCGACCCAGCTCCTCCTCCCCCCGCCCCCCCTCCCCCGCCCCGGCCTCCTCCCTCCGCTTCGGTGACTGCTCGCCGGGCGGGAGGGCCCGAGTCGCCGCAGCCACCTCATTGCTCAACCCGGCTTCCCAACTGTTTACACAGCCCGGCCTGTGAGTGTGTGTGTGTGTATACAGCGTGAGTCACCGAGAGGCGGAGGAGGTGGAGGAAAAGGGGAAGGAGGAGTGCACTGGCCGGGATCGGTGCGGCGCACACACTCACTCGCTCACACTCGCTCACTCTCTCCGAGCGCGTCTCGCTCGCTCGCTCACACACACGCCGGGAGCCCAGGAGCGCGCAGGATCTCGAGCGCCGCGGAAAAGTTGCTCCGGCTTTCTCTCCGGGACTTGGGGCTTTGGAAAGTGCATTTGCTCCGCCGTGCCGCCGAGCCTGCGGAATCCTGCCCTCGCGGCTCGGGACGTTGGGAACACCAGTCGCCGCCGCCGCCTCTGCCTCCGGGACTGTCGGCGGCCTCGACAACAATAGCGGCGGCCGCCCGCGGCCGGGCGCCCCAAGCCGGTGCCCGCGGGGCTCCCGGGACCCGAGCCGGCCTCTGCTGCCCGGACGCGCGGCCGGCGTGCTTCCCGCGGGCAAGGCGAGCGCCCAGGAGCCGCTCCAGCCCCGAGCCCCCGTGGGGGCCGCGCCGAGCTCCGTCTGCCGAGTCCATCCCGCCGGCTGGAGTAGATCGCGGCGCCGGCTCCGAGCCCTCGGCGCCTTCCCGCGCGGATCCCGGGACCTACAAAGCCGGGGCCGTCCCGGCCCGGGACGGGATGCGGGTCGGTCCGGTGCGCTCTGCCATGAGCGGCGCCTCGCAGCCCCGCGGCCCGGCCTTGCTGCTCCCGGCCGCCCGGGGCGCCCCGCTCAAACGCCTGCTGGACGCGGACGACGCGGCGGCCGTGGCGGCCAAGTGCCCGCGCCTCTCCGAGTGCCCGAGCCCCCCGGACTACCTCAGCCCTCCCGGCTCGCCCTGCAGTCCGCAGCCGCCCCCCGCCGCGCCGGGGGCTGGCGGCGGCTCTGGGAGCGCGCCGGGGCCCAGCCGCATCGCCGACTACCTGCTGCTGCCCCTGGCGGAGCGCGAGCATGTGTCCCGGGCGCTGTGCATCCACACCGGCCGCGAGCTGCGCTGCAAGGTAGGCGTCCCCGGGTCGGGACCCTCCGGGGCGGTGCGGGGGCGCGGTAGCCCGCAGAGGTGCTTGGGGGCTCGGCCTCAGGTGCCGCCTGCGGTGACTTGAGCGTGGTAGGCGGCCTTTGGCCAGGTCCACCCTTTGGGGGATTGAGGGGTTTCGCACGGAGTGGTGTAATGGGGGCTCTGCGGGCAAGAGGAAGTGCGGTGTTCGGTGGCTTTCTCTCTGTTCTTTCCTTAGCGCCCGGCGTCCCAAGTAAGTTGTGGAATCGAAATGGATTCCAGGGCCGTGCCATTCCCCTGCTCTCATTCTCCTCGCTCCCCTCGCCCCTTGTCCTGGAAGGAGGCCCTGAAGTGGGTGCCTCCTTGGAGCTTGGAGCAGCTGGCGGCCCCTTGCTGGGGCTTCAAGGCACCCGGGCTCAGCTGTGGGTGGGAGGCCCGTGTCAGGCGCGGGTCTTGGGGATTCCGGCTTGAGTCCGCACTGGGGTGAGAACCTCATCCCTGCCCTCCCCACCCCCCACCCCCACCCCGACCCCCAGAGATTGGTCTGGGGTGGTCTTCCAGCCAGGGCGGGGGATTTGTCAGGAGCAGAGATGATGAAAGGCCCACACCGGCCGAGAACCCTCGCTTCCATCCATGTCTTTCTTTTCCGGCTGGCGATTTTCTTTTGAACATGAGAGATTCCTCTCCGGAAGAGACGGAACTCCTAGAAACAGGATCCTCCCGGGCGCTCCTCCGGCGCCCAGAGGCGCAGAACATGTCCCACAGTCCAGGCTTTGCGAGCCTGACCCGCGCCTCGGACCTCCCCGAGGATCCTCCGGGCTGCTGCTTTTCAACCTCGAAAAGATAGGGTCACTCCTCAGTTGAAGTCGCTCTTGGGTTTTCCGCGACTCACCTGAACGCCACCCGCGGTTCCCCTCCCTGGGCTTGCTGCTGCCACCTAGTGTCCGATCTGAATGAAATTCCAAATGCAATCTCAAGCCCCGTGGAAAGGGGGGAAAATCTTTTCTTCTCGGGCATCGGGGGCTAAGAGCGGTTCGGGGAGGGGTGGGGTGAGAGGGAGGGGGGCGGCAGAGAGATTTTTCTAGCTGGTGCCAGGGCAGCCAGGCCTCAGAGGTGGGGTGGGTCTGGCCATTGTGCAACCCCTTCCAGTTCCTCTGAGCAGATAATAGCTGAATCCAGATGGTGACAGGCCATGTGTCACCGTTTCCAGTTGAGTCTAGGATATGAGTAACCGGACTAAACAAAAGGCCCTTAAAGAGACCAGCTAGCTTCTGAGAGGAGATGCTACCCATTTCCCTGGTGAAGGTGGGGCCAGGGAAGAGGGGGGGGGGAGAGAGAAACAAACAAATGAAAAACCCTTGGAGAACATCCCAGACCCCTCCTGCGACAATTTTAACTCAGGGCTGCTTATACCTGAGTCAGACTGTAGGCAGGTTGTTTAAGGCTGTGTTGTCATAGTCTTTTCTGCGAGTCATCTGTTCCTTCTGACTAATGACAGATCTTTGTGTTCCCCAGCCCCTCCAAGCTTCTACTTGCAGACTGGCCACATTCTGTGCTCTCTCTGCACTGAGCACTTTGGGTCTGAGGAGGTCATGCATTTTCAGGGACTGCTTTTTGGCTCCTGGAGATCCCAGCGGGCACCTTCTGTTGGGGCTACGCCCTCTCCTGCAAGCAAGGGAGGGCCACAGGGGCATAGAGGGTGGGGGTTTAGGGCCTGGCTCTCCTGTGCAGATGGCCTCGTGAAAGGAGGTAGCCCATATAGACAATAGGTCTTTGGAACCATCCCTATGGTAACTCAGTGGTTATTTGCTAGCCCAGAGCCCTAGGTGTTGCCGGTCTGGGGTGTTAGAGGCAGGTGAGATAAGGGGGTGTGAGTGAAAGGAGACTTGCTATCCAGCAAAGCCCCAAGATTGAGAGCTGCAGCCGGGGATGTAGAAGGCAGCCTCTGCTTTCCTAGCCTCCTAAATGGGTCCCCATCTCTCTGCAGGTGTTCCCCATTAAACACTACCAGGACAAAATCAGGCCTTATATCCAGCTGCCATCACACAGGAACATCACCGGCATCGTGGAAGTGATCCTTGGGGAAACCAAGGCCTACGTCTTCTTTGAGAAGGACTTTGGGGACATGCACTCCTATGTGCGAAGCCGGAAGAGGCTGCGGGAAGAGGAGGCCGCCCGGCTCTTCAAGCAGATTGTTTCCGCGGTGGCCCACTGCCACCAGTCGGCCATCGTGCTTGGGGACCTGAAACTTAGGAAATTTGTCTTCTCCACGGAGGAGAGGTGAGCAGCCTCCACAGCTCCTCCTGTGCCCTTTCAGGGCGCAGTTAGGTGCAGAGTGCAGAGCCTAGGGCTCAGTTGTCCCAGATGTGGTATTTAGAAGTCCTCTCCTGAGGAACCATGGCCAAGGGTGGTTTATTCTGCACTCGTGGATGTGGCCCGGGGACACCTTGGTGCTTCATTCTGTGGCATGCACATGGTGACAGGATGCCCTCCCCACTTCCACTCCGGGATCAAGTTTATTCCCCGTTGTTGTCAGAAAGGTCGGTCAGTTCTTCTGGGGTACGGATGTCACCCTGCCCATCACAACCTGGACCCCGAAAGGAAGTTGTCAAGTCCTTGCTTCTACCAAGTGGGGCTTTTTTTTTTTTTTTTTTTTTGTACCTAGAAAGTATCACAGAGCTAAACTGTTGGATTTGCAGAATTGTGCCCTTCTCCTCTGTACCATATTCCTGTTCCCCTTTGGGCTGCCCCCAGTCCTTTCTTCACATCCTCTGGTGATTTTTAGACCTCTTGTTTGGGTACGTCTTCAGAAAATAGCCACACTGAATAATAAATGGAAGTTGGCTGGAATGGGTTGCTAAGTATAGATCGTGACTTACCTCCTAAAGGACGAGATGAGCTTGATAAGAGAATAATGAGACACTAAGATTCAGAGTTGTGGTTTCAGACCAGGGAATTCGGGAAGCCGCAGGAGATAAAGCTCACCTGATTTTAAGAGGTGGGCCACATCCCTTATGGAGAGATTAAGAGCAATACCCTTGTAGAATTGTAGAGGGGTGTGCATGATTCTTGTGGTAGCTTTCCATTGGAGGCTTTCCCCCACCTGTGCACTTTTACCCTGAACTCCAGAGCATGGGGTCGAACTGCCATAAAGCCTGGCTTTGCACCTCACCTCGCAATACTTATTGGAACATACCGATTAGCAAAGAAAAGCCAAGTGTTTGCAATGGAGAAGTTTCCAATTCCTGGAACATGCTCCTTTGATATGTTGATGTGTTTTCTGAAACATGCCTTACACACCTCCTTACCAGCTTTTGAAATTCGCATTGCACAGGCGAATGTCATGTGCACGGAGTTTGGCAACCTGAGGGTTAAGCAATGGCAGGCTGACGCTATTCGTGTAACTAGCACAGGTGCAGGGTTTTAGTACTACAGCAGCCAATCAGGGGCAGACAGTGAGGGTTGAGTCATATTTTCCGTTTACAGAACCAATGGGTATTTTACATAACGACGGGGAGGTCAGGCTGAGGACATACCGAAGTTAGCACATGTATACTACACTCCAGGGAACAGGAAGGCAGGAAGGAAAAAAAAAAAACCAGCCAGACCTTTGAGAGGAAAAGAAATTGACCCATTAGCCAGTACCAAATGTTTGCATTTGACTTCACAACAAGTGACTTACTGAAACGGGGCGATTTCAGAGAAGCAGGGAAGAGCATAAGCCACCACCAGATAATAGAGGATTCCCCGCCTTCCATGTGGCTCTGGCTTTGGGGGGAATCCGTGAACCGTGGGTGGCTGGATCCGAATACGGAGGCACCTGCATCTTCGCAAGAGAGCCTCTGAGGAAAGATATTTCAGACTTAAACTGTTACCTGGACAGAGAACCCCCCCCCCCAATCATGGAAAGTAAATCTGCTCAGGGGTTGAGGTCCCACCCGCATGTACAGATGTCTGCAGGCCCCACATCCTTCAAATCCATCAGCCGCTTCTGTTTGCTCACATAACCTCTCGGTCCAGGCTAAGTGCTCTTTGCAATTAAACACCCCAATTAATGTAATTAACATTCCTGGCACCTTTCTCATCACAGTTATCAAGGCCTGAGCCCAGGTGGGCAGAGTTGCCTTTGTGTGTGTATGTCAGCATGACATATGTGCATAATAGCAGTGACTTTGGGCCCCATGTTCTGTAAAGCCAAGCGTGGGCCCACGTAGCCCTGGCAGCTCAATGGCGCGATAAGAATAAGATCGGCCTGTAGGATGCTCGCGGCGGCGAGTGTGGGGGGGGGGGTTGCGGGGGGAGGAGCTGGAAAGTAGGATGCACTGTTCTTCCCTGATAGCTTTTGTAGAAAATGTCAGCAATTCCCCCCGAGACCGGCTCCCGCTTCTGCAATGTGAACTTTGTAAATTGTGTAACCCTATTAGGATATCTCTTCTAAGCTCCAGCATAATGAATAGTATTTGGGGCTTTGCATCATACCCTCCCGCCCCAGGCTCTCTCTCGATACTTTGCAAATGTTTATTGCAGTTTGTATTGGTTTGTGAAACCCTGAGTCCTGGCTGGTGGTTGCAGAGCACTGCTTACTGGATGAAGGGGTAAATGGCATTCTTTGGGCCCCTGCCTTCAGGGCCTGTGGGCGCTGTTAATAGAGGAGGCCTTGTTTTTCATAGCAGCTGATCTGGAAGTAATAGCTTGTTTCCTCTCCCGCAGAAGCCAGCTCAGACTGGAAAGTCTAGAAGATACACACATAATCAAGGGGGAAGACGATGCTCTGTCAGACAAACATGGCTGCCCAGCCTACGTGAGCCCCGAGATCCTCAACACCACGGGAACCTACTCCGGAAAGGCGGCCGACGTTTGGAGCTTAGGGGTGATGCTCTACACCCTTTTGGTGGGACGATACCCCTTTCATGACTCAGACCCCAGTGCCCTCTTCTCCAAAATCCGCCGCGGACAGTTCTGCATTCCTGACCACATTTCCCCCAAAGCCAGATGCCTCATTCGCAGCCTCCTGAGACGCGAGCCTTCGGAGAGACTCACGGCTCCCGAGATCTTACTCCATCCCTGGTTCGAGTCTGTCTTGGAACCTGGCTACGTCGACTCAGAAATAGGAACTTCAGACCAGATTGTCCCAGAGCACCAGGAGGACAGTGACATTAGTTCCTTCTTCTGCTAAACCTCAGAAACCTCAATTCTCACACATAGCATTTCCATTTCTAAAGATGGACGGGCCTCTCGGCGTGGTGCCAGCCGGACACGTGACGGCGTGAAGACTGTAGCTGCTGAACTCGACGTGGCCCCCCCGCCCCCGTTTGTTGTGATGAGTGTGTATTGATCCGATCGGCTGCCCCTCTTAACGAGAACCCTCACCAACCAACCGCCCCGCTGGCAGATGCGGGGGTGGGAGGGGGGGGTGGGTGCTGCATCTTCCTAGGTGACAAAGAGCATGGAGATATTCTACAGCACGTGTGGTCAAACGAAAGGAACTCCTACGTTTTAAAGGGAGTGTAAGTGAGGCGCACAGTGGCATTTTGGGCAATAACCATATTTTTAACAGGGTGACAAATCATTTGGGCCAATGAACCTGCCATCTTCGAACTTGTCTTTGGGAGCTAGACGTTCGCTACCCTAGCTTCTCTCTTGGAAAGTTTTTTTTTGTTTTTTTTTTTTTTGGTTTGGATTAACACACACCCTGTCTACACATTCACAGTTACCAATGACCCTGCTCCGTTTTTGGAGCAGAGCGTTGGGGGAGCACAGGAGCCTGCCTGAACCCCAAACCCAGACTCTCTCTTCTGTTTTCCTGCCACGACCTCATTTGCACTAATGCCTTCTCTCTGACCTTGAAATGTCCCCGTCTTTGCTGTGAAAGCACTTACCAGCTAACCGTGGAGGGGTATCACAAGAGATTCGAACTCCTTGGCTATTTCAGAACTCTGGGCTCAGAGAGACGGCAGATTTTTAAACGTTCATTTGAGCTCTTGGAAACCTTTAGCCTGGTTGGGTCCCCTGAAACAGGTCAGCCTGCATCCTTTTTTTTCCTCAAGACCATCTCACGGGGGAGTAATTTGTCTAGGAGGAGAAAGATAGGGAGACTCCCTCGCCTCTCCCAAGAGCAAACGGTAAACATCTTTGTGCTTCAGAGAAAGTGGGTTTTGGATAGTCTTAGACGATTCTCAGACCCGCTTGCAACCCCTTCATGCATATGGTCTGCCTCTGGCGTTACGTGTCACATCTGCAGTTTTGCATGATGGGTTGTTAATATTTTAAATTTGATGTGGTTTATGAATACAACTCTGTAATCAGCATCCGGAGTGAAATAGCCCCAAATCTTTAAAGTCAGAAGAGACTTTCAAAGTTTTTCCTCTTTCTGCCATCTCCTAACCCCCCACCCCCCAACCTTCCCCATCAACTTCAGCTTCCTTCAGGTGGGAGTCAGCGTCTGTTTGAATGCCTCCAGAGGTGGGAACTCACTACCTACGAAAAGACATCTCTTAACAAAGAAACTGCAAAACTCGCATTAAAAAAACAAACAACCAAGAACCCACGAGATATCAGTAAATGTCTCAGTACTGAAATCAGGTGATTAAACGGGTAAACCAAACATACTGTATTTTGAGAAATGGCACAGATGGGCAGGTCATCTTTAAGGGCTACGCCTCGGCAAACAACTAACCTGCGTTGTGAGAATGTTGTATATACCTCACGTACTGTGTACTTTGTATATATATTTTACCTTTTATACCTATCGTCCGATATGTGTTGTTTTGGCCCTGAGGCTCGGTTTGTTGTCTGTGTCTGTCTGAATAACCTGCGTGTCTAAAACCACGTGAAATGTGAATGATTATCGGCAATATTACCTTGACAGAATCATGGGACTCGGAGAAGAGGGAGGGCGGAGGCCTCTTGTACTATCGTGCTCGTGGTTGCTTGACTGTTGTATCTGTGATACGTTACCCGGCCGAGGACTCCGGGCCAGCTGGGGCTTCTGCCGGGAAAGCCCGAAACACTAGATCCTTCCTGTACATGTGTATATATGTGAACAGTGAGACGGCCGTTTCTGACTTGTAGAGAAATTTTAATAAATCGGGTTTCGTAAATAGGCTCAGTGCATTTCTTTGGAGCCCAAATCTGCCTTTGCCTGGTGTGATTTCATGCTGGGGACACAAAGGTCTCTGGCCTCAGGGTTCGGAACATCACAGGGGAAACGCAGAAATAGACAGATGATTATTATGTATGACCAGAGTTGAATCCATTCACGTTCTCCATTGAAGTGGGCAAATTCATTTTGATGGCTGAAGCCAGTTTGGTGGAATCAGGTTGGTGGGGGCCCTGGGTTGATATGGAGCCGAAAAACATTAAAAGAGGAGCAAACATAAATAAGTCTTGAGTTGGAAGAGTCCCTCTGGCTTTTTTTTTTTTTTTTTTTTTTTTTTTT